GGAAACCCCTGCCACATTAACTCCGCTCCAAACAGCCACTGTAACATATTGAGAGAGAGGATGAAAATTTCAGTGACCATTATGCTTCCTCCATTATTGTAGTGAAGGCTTTAACTATAAAACTTGCATTATTTTAAAAAGGAGGATGGGTAGCCAAATCCTTTAGCCATCTTGAAAATATCAACCACAGACTTTTACAAGTCAGGGGACATGTTCCAGAAATGTTCCTTACCACTAGAATCTCCATGTTCTCCTAAGATCCAGCTGTGGCAGCTGCTGGGGTGGATGCCAAGCTTTTCGGATATCAGGTAGCGAAATCTGGCTGAATCCAAATTGCAACCACTTCCAATCACACGGTGCTTGGGCAGTCCACTTAGCTTCCATGTGACATATGTCAATATGTCCACTAAGAATGAGAACAAAAGCAGTGAGCAAAACTGATTTCTTCCACAAAATGCACACGTATCATACAGCAGCTTTAGTACATGTGGCAGGGTAGATGTTTATAAGCTAAAGAAGCTGAAGGTGCAGATGGAGTCACTGGAATCAGATCCTAAACAAAGTAGAAGATAGGAGTGCTCATCTAACTTGTAGAATTTTTGGACTACCTGCCTTCAGGAAGATGCCCATGTGTGGTTATCTTTTTATTGAGAATATCACTTAAAATGTGACTGAATTAAAATGGACAGAGATTTGTGCATGAGAAAATGTGTGGCTGAATAAGTCTTGCACAGACATCAAAACTCCTCATTGGAATAATCCTGCTTAAATGTACCTCCTTATCATGGCATACAATAACTTTTGTGCTTTGACACGATGAAAGGTTGGCAATATTAATGAAAAAACCACCTACAGGCCCAAGCGACTGCAAGTCAAAAGGTCAACTATTTTTTTTCCACTACAAACTACCCAATTTGTTAATTCAGTTCCTGAAAGCTGGGGATGCATTAGTGATGGCTTATGTTCTGATCAGCCAGGGCTTCCCAGAAGCCCCAAGGCCAGTGGATTCCTGCTAGAATCAAAGAGTCTACACAGATTCACACATTGACCTATGTGAGCTGTGCCCCCCAGCTCCAT